TTTGTACAACTGGGATCGTTTGCTCGGGCAGCGGCCATAGCAGGAAGATCGAGCACCGGCAGTGTAACTGCATTCATTTGGATTCGTGATAGAGCATCGGCAACACAGTTCGACTTGCCTTGGATGTGACGAAGATCTGTCGTGAACTGAGAGATATAGTCCAAATGTCTGCACTCTCGTGGTGAGTAGCGGTCAGACTTGGTATGCAAAGCATACGTTAAGGGCTTATGGTCGGTGAATAAAATGAATTGACGTCCTTCTACTGCGTGCCGAAAATGTTTGATGGCGCAGTAGGCTGCTAGCAGCTCGCGACCAAAAGCGCTATATCTCGTCTCCGTGGTAGTAAGGCGTCGTGAGAAGAACTCGGGAGGTTGCCAACTACCGGAGATGTTTTGTTGCATGACTGCTCCTATAGCGACATCGGATGCATCAACCGCTATACTAAGCGTGGCTGATGGATCGTGATGGGCAAGAAGAGTGGCTTGCGCAAGGGCCGTTTTGATTTCAGTGAATGCAGTACGTGCAGAATCGTTCATTTCCAATCTGCGTGGGTTGCCGCGTAGTAAGTCGGTTAGTGGTCGTAACCGTTCTGCCGCGTGTGGGATGAAACGACGGTAGAAGTTAACCAAACCGAGAAAAGCCTTCAGTTCTTTGAGTGAGGACGGCTCGTTGTACTCCTTTATTGCTTGCACTTTGTCCTCACAAGGTAAAATACCCTCTTGCTTGATAACATGACCCAGAAATATGATTTCTCGTTTACCTAACTCGCATTTGTCTGGGTTAACTACTATTCCATTATCCGAAAGGCGTTGGAATAATAGCGTAAGATGTTGATAATGTTCATCTACGTTTGATGATGCGATTAGCAGGTCATCAATATAGACGTGAACAAAATCGAGGTCTCGTACAATGCTATCGATAAACCTTTGAAAAGTTTGATCAGCATTCCGTAATCCAAATGGCATTCGTAGGAACTCAAACAAACCGAAAGGAGTCGTGATAGCAGTCCTTTCGATGTCTTCAAGAGCGACTGGGATCTGATGATATGCTCGTACCAGATCGATCTTAGAAAAGATAGTCGTGCCTTTGAGCGATGCCGTGATGTCGTGTATGTGGGGGATGGGGTAGCTATCGAAGCGCGTAACTACGTTTAGAGCTCGGTAGTCGCCGCATGGTCTCCAACTAACCCCATCTTTTTTGCGCACCATGTGTAGAGGAGAGGCCCATGGACTGTGAGAAGGACGAATAATACCAGTAGCTAGTAAATTGTCAAACTTACGCTTAGCAAAAGCTAATTTGTCCGGTGCCAGTCGGCGAGGTCGTGCCGTGACTGGCGGTCCGCGGGTGACTATGTGGTGTACCACACGATTGGTCACCGATGGAAGCTCCTCGAGTGGCTTAGTGAGTACGGGGAATTTCTCGAATAAAGCGTGGAATTTATCGTCACGCGAGTAAAAAGTGCCGAGGATTCGGTACGCGTTCATGTGGGCTTTACAGCCCATGAATTTGCTGTTCGACGAAGTATCGATTAGCTGCAGCCTACGTGAATCGACAAGCAATTCATAGTGCTGTAGAAAATCGATACCTAGTATGGCTGTGGGGACATCAGCAATGATGAACGTCCACAGATACTGTCGTCGGTTGCCCAGGTTGACCACGAGTTGTCGTGTACCGTAGGTAGGAATGACTGAGCCATTCGCAGCGCGTAGTCGAAGCACTGTGGCTTGTGACTTGCTGCTACCTCGTGGTACGACAGAAACTTGGGCCCCAGTGTCTACTAGGAACCTAGCGTTTGTGCGATAATCGTGCACATAGAATAGGCGACCAACCTGGGGAGAAGGACCGGCGAGTACGCCCGCTTTTACTCGCCGGCGCTGGCGTTTCCCGCCTTGTATGAGCATGGTGCTCGACAACGGCGGGCGCCAGACCCGAAGGACCTATGGAACCAGCACCATCTATCACTCGCTTCCGTAGCCGCCTTTCGGCGTGGCCTGGAAGATGCCCTTTTTGGGCGAGTGGTGACGGGTTTGCGAGAACTTGAGCGAGCTCGGGGGACGTAGGGTTGGGGTACGTTACAACGATCTCGAAAACTAAGACGTGTGTGAATACACCCGGCCCTGTCACCATGAGCTGTGGAATGACCGGCGTCCATGTCTACATTAGGACGTGCCGTCGAAGCAACTACATAGGTGTCTCTATTACTAGTCCTCGCCAAAATTTTGTCTGCTATGAGGGCTACCTGGTTAAGCGGTGAGTCCTCGAGCAGTGCCGTCACAGTAGGTTGGATATGGGCTGGTAGTGACTCGAGCCACAATTCCTTAACTATTTCTGAGTCACTTGCTGTTGGTCCTGCAATAGATTGCAGGCGCGTGAGGTGATGGCTTGGTTTAGCATCACCCAGGGGGTGACGTGGTAACAGAGTCCTCAATCGTTCCTCCCGCGATGGGAGGAAATGTCGGAGAATTGCCTCCTTGAGGCGGTCATAAACATTAGGCACGTTGGAACTGAGGACGACCTCACGAACAGCTACTAAATGGTCCCCGGGTAACGATTCGAGAGCGTAGGCGTATTTTTGCCTTTGGCTCGTGATGCGACGAGTCTCGAACTGAGACTCTATTGCAGCAAACCAGACCTCAGGGTCGTGGGGGATAAATGATACAGGTCGAAAATGAATGGCCTGTACGTCTGAGTCTATAACATTAATAGTATTCTCGCTATCCGTCATGTCGTGTATATTATATATTAAAAATTAATATGAAAATATACGACAGACGTGGATAGATAAATAATAGACTCACCAAATTGACTTCTTTGGAAGATTTGACCCGAGGTTGAGGCGTGTTCCAAACTTTGGGATCACCAATTGTAGCGTGGTGTCGAGTTGAGATTAACTGTGAACACCGCTACCAAGAAACACGTGCCAGATAAATCAGAAGGCGAGGATCGAACGTAACCAGATTTATTTCGTTGGCGATCTCGTGGTATTGAACGAATACCGAGATCGTGCCAAGAAGTGGTACAAGTGGAAGCAGAAGACAGGAGTACGTGCGAACAGTACCAAAAACCGCGGAACAATTATGGAAGATAATGGAAGCACAAAATGGCTATAATTAGCACAGTTAAACAAAAGCACATTAAAACAAACACTGGTACAGTTGGTTATAATAATAATTGTTTTTATTAAACCAGTCGTGTTCTCGTGATGAATGTGAGTCACTACAGATCCATTCCTTATGATGGTGCTTCTTTAGACCCAGAACCTCTTGACACGTTGAATTTAATGCTTCTTTGATGCCTATCCAGTTGTCCTCCATAGTGGTTTCTTCTTCCTTCAGTAGATCTTATAAGGCTTGGAACCTGTTGTTGAGAGCTATCTTGAATTCATTGAGTTTGTCAGTATCTTGAAGGAAGGCTATATTGAACCTTTGTAGTGCTGTTTGTCCAGTTGTCCAGTTTTTCTTTAGCTTCACTTTTAAATTGGCCACAACTAGGTGGTGATCTGAAGCTATGTCAGCTCCTCTCCTGGTTCTCACATCTTCCATTGTCCTTCGGAATTTTTTGTTGATGCAGATATGATCTATCTGGTTCTCTGTAGTGTGGTCCGGTGAGATCCATGTAGCTTTGTGTATACGTTTGTGTGGAAATATTGTGCCTCCTATGACCAATTTGTTGAATACATACAGATTTGCAAATCTTTCTCCATTTTCGTTTCTCTCACCCAGTCCATGTCGTTCCATGATATCTTGTGAGGTCCTTTCTTGGGTACTTCTCTATGATTGACTGCAGCCGCTCGTAGAATTGATCCTTAATGTCGTCGTTGCTATCATTGGTGAGTGAATAACTTTGGATAATATTCATTGTGATCCCCTCCTTCTTTGTTTTGAATGATGCTTTGATGATTCAGGATTCGTGAGATTTCCATCCTACATGTGCATTTCGTGCTACTTCGGACAGCATTAGAGCAACTCCCTGAGTATGTGGAGCATTTTCCTCTTCGTGACCGGAGTATAGTAGCATCTCTCCCGTATTTAGCCTTTGTTGTCCAGCTTGGGTCCAATGGGCTTCGCTGATTCTCAGTACTGCCAAGTTGTATCTCCTCATTTCCGTTGCTGTTTGACTGGTCTTCCCGGTTTCCCACATTGTCCGGACGTTCGATGTACCTATAAATATTGTTGCTCTGGTTGTTAGAAGGGGCATCGGCCTCGTGGCTTCCGAAGGAATTCGGCTTTCACCATGAAGCGTCATAATTCTTCTAAATGAAGACCTAACTCCGAGGGCAGAGTTAAAATGGTTTGAATTATTTTTTCTGGTAAGCGTTTTTTTAGCGAGTTAGTTTTCTACGGGATAGGGACGCTAAACCCATGCCCAACCCTCTTCCTTTACCCGGGCTTGGGACCGGCAGTAACTCTGGAAGAGCTACAGGCGGAGTTTAAGAAAAACGTATTTGAAAAACGATTAGGACGTAGAGTTTAGAGTTCAGTCAGGCTAGGATGTACAGTGTAACTTGAGCTAAATTTAATACAAATCCTTAAATTTTTAACCCTAAATTACAAACTACAAATCTTAATTCTAACTCTAAAACCTATACTATGAATTTAAATCCTAAATACTGAGTTTGAATCTTAATCATGGCATCATAAATCGGTCATTGATATTTCCAGTATTCTTATTGGCTGAATAGGTTAACAGATTGTTATTTTAGTTCACAGATCCCCTCAAGCTTGCCCTTTATATTCAGCTTTGCCAAAGAAGTCAATGATGTACCTACTCAAGGTATCAGTCAACATATCTTTGTCTAGGTCAGAAGAACAACCGTATACATTCCTATGATTTTTGTGCATTATAGTTTAGTTTAGTGATTAAACCTTCGTTCTCATTTCAGTCTTTTAAATTAAATAGTAGACTGGGTATCCCGTGGTAGGAAAACTTCAAGTCATTCAGTTCTTGCTATTAAACGCCAGTTCCATGATTATTGAATTATTTATTTTCATTAAATTTAGAGCTGTTTAAGCATGGATCCTACAGAACGACTTAATAGTGAGGCATTATTAAAACATCCATATATGGAAATGCACGGAAGACACCCACATTATTATCATGGTGAATTAAAACAAGTATGTAGTTCATGTGGAGATGGTTATAATAATCATGGAATGAAAAAAAAAGCTGAACGTAATTTCATTCAAAATTCACAAAATAAACCAGTTATGATTAATCAAATTAGTACTGGGACAATGATCCCAAGACGTAAATATCAACAACAGCAAATTCCGCAACAATCTACTGATCGAAATCAAACAACTGCTACACCACAAAATGAGTCCAATTCAATTTCACCGACATGTTTCCCTCCAACTAGTAGTATTACACCAAGTTTTAATGCTGGTCGAACAAATTGGTTTGTTCCAGGAATTGTTGGTCAAAGTCTATATAATGTACGTACAACTAATTAGTTAAAAGAATTCCTTATCAAAATTTATTATTACTATACTTTAGTAAACTTTTATGCACATTAATTTTAAATAAATCACATGTAAAATGAACCTTTAAAGGTTGGATCTATGAAAAACTTTACATCATTACAGATTGATTTTCACCAGATAATAATTGGTTTTGATGTAACAAACCCTGAAGATCTGCTACTTCTTTGATCTCTCATTCAGTCATCAATTTGAAGTGCTGAATATTGTATAACGAGTTGAAATATCTATTCAGAAATTGTTTAACTAAAATCAGTTCGTGAAGTAAACTACAATAATTTTATAACCAAAATAATTAGTAGTTATAAGTTACAATCAGTGTCATTTACAAAAAAAGTATAAATGGAATAACTAGTTGATTATTGATCATTATAACGTAACACTGTTCCCCCAGAGGCTTGTATAGGATGAAGATTGTGGTATGATATTGTCTCCTAATTGTTCAATTTTGTTCTTGGTGTATTTATATCAATAAGTGTAAAGCCTCTGACAATTTAATGGAAATATCGGTAAATAAACTATTTTTCTCCCAAAAACAAGCTTTCATCCAGCATCTACTTATTGTCGATTTCATAAAATTGAATATATGATATAGCTAATAATTTTTATATTCGAACTCTTCAACTAAGCATATGACCAATTCACACACTCCAAATAAAGGATGAATATGATATCCAAATATGTAAAACATAAAGCTGAATCATATTTAATGTTTGACTAGCAATGAAATCTAGGATACGAGTTCCGTCTTATTTGAGACTCGTCAACTGAATCAATCTCAATCCCTTACTATGAAATTGAATTCTGTGTTTATTATTTGTAATCGTATTCATAAAAATTGGTTGCCATAATGGAAAAGTAATCATATCAATTAAGGGCCTCTTCTGTAATTGTATCTATACTGTTTTTTGGTTAGTTCATTTGGCTTTTAACCTAATGATTCTAGGTGAAAATGAAAAAAATCACTATAAACCAATGAATAGAATGTTAATGTAACGATAACTAGTAACTTAAACAATTAGATCCTAGTAAGGATGTTATCTTCATTAATAGTTATATGTTTGATTCAGTGCGAGGTAATAGGTGTACACTCTTAAAAAGTTAAAAACTAGAATGAAACTGTTTAATTTCGTCAAACACTGACCGACATTTGAAATTATTTGTTGTCGACATAGCTGAATATAATTCAGTAGTCAAGTAAAATTTAATAGAATTAACTTTGAGCTTGTATGTGATATCTATGTATCTGTCCAAGTAAAATTTATGGGAATAACCGTCAAAAAGTTTACATATTAATTGTAATATGTAATGTATAATATCAAGTGTGCAATTGACAAATAGATGTTCACTGACATCTAACGGTTAGTTCAAATATGATACTACTCAAGTTACATTCAGATACTTAACAATGAATTTGCTTTCATCTGATCATAGTTCTTGTAAAAAAAACTTATCAACTTTGATTTATTGTGGATAATTAGGGAAATTTACTAGTTATGTGACCTGGAAATTCAAGTCTGCTTAGTATTACAGATAAATACTGTACCATAATGAAATTTAATCATTACAGTTTACATCATGGACTGAGTTATGTCTGTTGTTGCCGTAGTTATATCCACGTGCCGTCGCTGTTATCTCTGTCGAATCGGTTTTGTTCATAGCCTTATTGTTTTGAATCATCAGTTGGAAAATACTGTAATTCAATGATCCTACTGCTTATAGTTGGAAACAGTAACCATTGCAATTTCCATGACAAGAAATGAATAAACAAAAACCTCTAGGAATGACTGTAAAACCACATTCCCAAACAAGTACCGAAATCATGTTGCCTTCATACCAAAATACAATCATTTATATATTTATTTTATACACTTAGTAATATCAGATATTGGCGAAAATACATAAAAATAGACACAGAATACAATTTATCTAGATTAATACAAGTAATATAAATATCACATTGAATGAAAGTTCATACCTGTCACCCTGGTAGAAATTCTCCATGAATCGGTACAAAAAATACTGACCTAAATAATGTCATCTTTTTATCGCGTTATCAGACTGACCTTTGTTAGACAACCATTGAAGTCTAGAAGTTACCGGACCTTTCCGAGGACCATCAGATTTCATGAAGAGAGCTTAATCTTTAGACCTTCTGAGTTGAGATCTAGTGGTTTATATTTGTAACTTTAATCAATTCACTAATAGTGAAATTAAAATGTAAATGATACATACTAAGTTATTAGCAAAGTATAGGTTTATGCACTGAGTTCTAAGGTGTAACTTATGTGTGTATATTAAGTATTTCTTTTTGGCTCTTCAAAGTAAGGGAGGTGAATGTATTTTGGACCTGTGAGACTTTATGTTTGCGATTCAAGCCAAAGTTTAGTGTAAGGATAAATTAATTAGAATACAGAGAACTACTTTCAAGTTTTTGCGCGAATTTCAAAAATGAATGATAATGATGATGATAATCTATCAGTGCACAAAATACAAATTAGAAATACCTTCATAAAGGCTCTCAGAACGTTTAGAATCGTTAAAAAAAAACTTTTTTATCTTCATACTGAAAAAATCACATTGGTCAACATATCAAGTGCTCACTTTTTATTGCACAGATTTTACATAACACATGAACCGATCATTTTTCTTGGCACAATTTCTAATAGACTTACAAAAATGAAAATACAGGACTACTGAAATTACATAATAACTTCTACGCATGACTTCGTCATAGCAACATGGTGACTATTATTCTCTTATGATTTAATTTTCGATACCGCAGTGAATTTTTCAATGTTTTTCTTAAGTCATGATGAATTTTATATAAATAAACATGAGAAAGATTCGGAAAAGAAATGAATTAGTGTGAATCAATTCACACTCATATTAATGATGTTATATGGCGGTATTTTTACGAAATTAAATTCGGAAAATTAATAATATGCCTTTTAAAAAAGGCGATAAATATTTCCAAAACCGCTGAGCTCGAAAAGGTCACATTCTTTCTGTTGCGAAATACATTTGATTCATAGAGACTCTCTGCTAATTAGTGAAAGTTAGCTTTAAAACAACTCGATTTTGTTAAGATTCTTTCAAAATTGTCCCTATATCATACTTTTACTGAGATTCATGAATGATCCAATCAACAAATCGTCGCCTAGCTGTAATTGGTTGTCTAGACATTTTTTAAAGCATATCAGTCTTAATGTATCATGAAATTAAAATATTCTCAAAACATCTATAATTCTTTGACCATTTTCTATGTTCTTTATTTACACATTTGTCTTTATCAAATGATCGTTGTAGCCGTCGCAAATAGGACTGCCTGCCCTGCCAACTAATCCACATTTACAACCAATCCCAGTAACTACTACATCTACACCATCAAACAACAATGCTCAATCAATGATGATGGTAACAGGTAATCAGAAATCTAATTTAGGATGGAAATATCCTAAATCAAATCAAATGATTATGACATCAACAAACAGTAACAATTCGATATCATATTTCCCAAATCCGGACATTAATAACAATAATAATAATAATTCATCAAATATAGACAATGGGCATAATTCTAACGATACAAACGTTGCACACAGTACACTTCAATCAAATTTGATAGGATTACACCTACCGAACATATAAAAAAAGTGTCTTTTCCTCCACACTTAACCTTTCTCAAACACAGATCTAGTGTAAATGTGTTACATATGGTTAGTAGTAGTATTAATATTACCAACCTAATTAGTGACTTCTTTCATAAGTAAAATGATACACACATTACAAACAATATTATAATAATAATGGCAAGTAGATTATCTAAGTACATTTAATTATTGAAGTTTTCATTTCTCTCTTTCTATATTATCTTACAATCTGAAAAGTAACCGAATATTATCCTTCCTATTTATTATATTCAAAGAAATTGTATATAAACTCAAATGAATATTAATTACTTATAATTATCTCTTTATTAAAACTACTTTCATACGGATCTGTGTTTTGCTTTAATGATTGTGATAGATTTTCTTTCTTTATTTATTTAAACACATATACATTGGTACAAGGAGGCACCAAAAAGATATGCTCCACATTAATCATTCGATTTGTGTAAGGGCTAAGATACTGCCATGGTGCCCAAACCGAAGCAGGTGGTTTTCTTAGGGGTCCACACCCGGAGCCTTTGACCTAAAGGTCTGACCCACTAGGCAGTGGAGCATCGTGAGGAGATGCAGTCCCATGGTAGCCGGTGACCAACGATTGGTTCATACGTCATTTGTTCCCTCAGGATACTGGAGCCCATGTACACCATTGATTTGGAATCCGGTTAAAGCGCCGGACATTTGCTTTTCGTCCTCCCAATTTCGTAAACAACACCCTCACCACGAGAAGGCAGTGAGTAGGACTTCCCTGGCAGAAGCTGTATACGCGTGGCCATGTGAGAGCATTTCGAGAGTGAGGGCGGGCCCACCCCTCTCTCGGCCATACCAAGGCATTTGGGGGCGATATACTGGTTATGGGACAAAAATCTACGCACTATTAAAACTATTTGTAATAGAATTAAACAGAGTTCTACGGCGAATATATTCGAATTAAATGAGCTAAAATGGTGTTGTTAACAGTTTTAACTACACCTTTGATTAACCACAGTGGGAGGTGCTCACCAGCCCAAAAATACAAATTCCTAGGACACTTGCCAATATGAATTGCCCCACAGTAGCAGTCGAATTGACAGATACAGAAAGAAGTGGCTAGTCTAGGTAATTTATCTTTAAACCTCGAAGTGATCATCGGATGCATAGAAAGTGTTAATTGTCATTTGCTTGCAATAAAAATTCTTTGGATTGATCTGTTCAACCGTTTCACTAGGTTCATCGTCACTGAATTGTAAGCGCATATATACAGCGGCTTTTTGTTCACAGTTAGGCATCCCTTATGCTCTTTTATTGGTTAAATGTTAATTTATGTCACCAGATATCCAACTTCCAGCCTAACTAGTTAATAGTCATTTTGATGATATGGTGACGTAATTTGATTGATGTTCATTTTTATGTCCTAAACTGATCCACACATCATACGATTGTCATAATTATTATTAATACTATTATTGTTAATATTATTATAACACTTGCTAACCATTTTGAGGAATTTATTCAGTATCCACCCCTATCTACTAATTTGTACCCAATTCATTTTTGATGAAGTTTTGTTCTCTTAGCTGGATGGTTTAGTCGTGGAGCTTTCATCGTTCTTTTGAATGACATCATGAGCACAAACTTCAAGTAGAAGGTACCTAATTCATATTATTCTACATATTACGTAATTTTCGATTTATAATTACATCATTCTCTCTCTCACACTCCATGTTGACCATATTTATTCTGATCATTATTTATCTCACAATTTCATTTCACTTATAAACTGATTCAAGTTAACACTTCATATTAGTCAACGCTAATATTAACGATTTGATTTGATTTTATGTAACAAACAACAATCTTTGATTCACATGTTATGATTTCACATGATGTACCTTGCCTTAAATCTGACCAATTTTGTGGATTATTAATTTGGATATGAGATAATTGTAGAACTTGATGAGAAATTACTGAAAAGCATATTCTTCGTTCACACAAAGTAATCATTAGTTCGTACAAATGCCACAACCACATCAGCCTCAATGGGAATCCGAATTTCTGTAATCGGTTGTACTTTTTCTCCTTAGGTTCATCATGTATCTGTCCGACTGTGTGTATAATGTAGACTCTATATGATCTAGAACGTACTCATTGGTAGCAGAATTAACAACCGAAATTGGAACAGACTCACCTGGTTCCTGGAATTGTATTTGATCAACATCTCTATCGTGTGTGCTTAAATCATTGATAGCTAAAATTCAAACCATAGATTTTTCAACATTCTTCGCCATAATCTCCGTGGTTGGTCAAAGATTATTTCCACAATAAAATATAACTTACGCAAACTCTAAACACCTCATATTTCAACGGAGAATCCTTCCTTTTAGTAACTTTGATGGGATCTCTTTCGTTGCAGAATGTTTAACATTTCTAGATCGCAGTAATGTGTCTACTCCTCATTCCAACTCATCAAACGCTGAAGCCGCAATGGAATTAATGGAAATTCTTAATGTCCTGAGGAAATTTTCTTCCTGACCATTATAACAAAAGTGCCTATTAGTAATGAACAGATGTCTGCATCCTATACTATTCAACCAGATAGTGACTCTCTGCAGCAAAATGAGAGCCATTAACACTCAATAACAACATAGGAACCACCTACCGACTGAAAACTTTTCTTAATGCCTGGATTAAGAAGTCAGAATATGGTGAAGTTGTGAAACTTCAGGCCACTTGAGAGAAGCATTGATAACAAATGCATAGTATTCGCAGAGAAATGGACTACAATAGTCTGCATAAATTCTCTGCCAGGCCTCAGACGATAATGGTCATAGAATCCGTTGCGAAGGATGATTTTCCAATTTACGATATTTTCCACAATGATTTCCTGTACGATATATGTCAGTGTTTATCTCCGGCCACTAACATGTGAGCCTTGTCAAGGATGTCATTCAGCATCCAATTGTCCACTATGAAGATCTCCAAGGACAGATTTACGTTATAAAAAAGGAATAAATGAACGATCATTCAGACACAAAGTACCATCAGGAGTAGTGGATAACTCATCCTGTTTTGGAAGATAAACAAGAAACCTACGTTTCAGATTGGTATTCCAACCTCTTCATATGGCACAGTATACATTCAAAGTATTGACGAGTTTCTCTAATGAGATCTGGATGTCTCACCGGTAAAGATTTTACTAACAGATAGTCTGCAGTATTAACAGCTTTATCTTGTAATGATTGTCGAGGTATGTAGCCAACATGTTGGTTGGTGAGTACAAATACCACTTATAGCTTCAGACATCCCGAAGAGGAGAATTTCTGACCCACTCAACAGAACTTTCCCTGCAGCAACTTCGCAACTAGCGTTCCCCAGTCGACCTATGGTCACTAGTAATCTAAAGGACAAATTGTCATTTGACCGATTTCCTGTGCACTTATCAATTCCTTTGTTCATGTTGGGCCAGGTATACAGGTCGGTCGAAGAGTATTTTACTCGAAAAAATTCGCGAACACTACCGGGCTTGACTGGGAAGAGGCGGAAATAAGTTAATTAGGAGCTCAATAATCCAATACCTTGTGAACACAGGTCATTCGACCAAAGCGGGCTATGCGTTCAAAGTCGCCTACAAGTTGAGTAGGAAACGTCCAAATTTAGTTACCTTCCATCTTTTTAGCATTGCTGCATCACTTCCTAAACATTTAGAGAAAGCAGAATTACATGTATAGAAGAAACTTCACAACCCACTGACCTCTTGAAAAAACTTTCCTCTTTTTTCTCTCACAGCCATCTGCTTCCCTTTTATCTTCTTCTGAACATAACTTTTACTCCCAACTGATTTGTTTCTCTTTTCATAATTCGATTGATTACAATTCATCTTAATTTCAGCATTTAATCTTACTACGCAGAACCTTTTTCCGATTACAATTCCTTCATCTATCTTCATGATGAATATTCAATGGGGTATAGCATAGCAAAACTATTTGTTTTCTTTTCGTTCAACTCTATATTAGCTGTACATCATACATGGGCTGACGTAGAATTTTCACAAAAGAGGATCGACTAAACGTAATTGGCAAGGTTTTAAACCCAGTAACAGTTTTCACAGATTGAAATCATGAGTCAGTTGAAGCTAGACCACCATGGAAAACCTGGAAGCACTGGACGGCCGTTTCGTCGTGGTATGGGACTCCTCAGCAATGCGCATCCACGATCCCGCACCACGCGGGATGTACGTTGGCGCAACTTCGTGGATTGGTTGAAGTTAGACATTAACACCGTTGGATGCCAGCTCAGTGGTCTAGTGGTTAAGTGCTCGCGCGCGAAGCCAGTAGGTCCTGGGTTCGAGCCCCGCGTAGTGCGGGATCGTGGATGCGCACTGCTGAGTCCCATACCACGACGAAACGGCCGTCCAGTGCTTCCAGGTTTTCCATGGTGGTCTAGCTTCAACTGACTCATGATTTCAATCTGTGAAAATTTCTAAAACTCTCCACAAAACCCATTCCAGTAACAGTTCTTTAAGATGATACTAATCAGAATAGTGTAGCTGTAGCTTCCTATGAAACCCAGCAACGCAAACGGACACAATCAGTGACTTCTACTTACTCATAATCCAGTAGAACTAGGTAGTCTATATTCATTTCGTAGTCTCACTGCTGGGAGGCTGGAGAAGGACCATTATCTTACTATATTGAGTGCTTGTTGTAAGGGCTTTCATATACATTATACCACTGTTTTACTGACTTCACCAATTTTGAGCTGTAAAGCTTTGTTCGGTAGTTTATGATTTTATCTCAGTTTTTATCACAGAGATAGACGTTGTTTAGAACTTTGACGGACGTTTATTATTGCTCAATAACGGATTACAGAAAAATTTTAGTTCCTCTTTGAAAATCCCTTCAGAGTAAATAACTTTAGCTCTACGAACTAAGCATTCAACTAAATCTTGCCTATACTGCAGCCAAACAAAGCTTTAAAAATGGGAATATTGGCTTAGTGGTTAGTTTACAACCAATAATTCTCTCCATTGTCGGATCAGGTCCTTGTGTCAACAAGACGTCTAAAAAGAGTATATAAACTCAACTTCTTCTAGTTGGGAAATTGATTTTGTACAGCATCTTGAAGGCGGTAGTAAACTTCTTATACACAATCAAGAAGTACCTTACCCATGTTCAACTCCAAAAGGATTAGAAGAATGCTATTTTTAATTCAGTTTCTCGATTAGTTACATTTTATTTCGCAAGTTGAATTCATGACGAGAAAATGTACTATAAAACATAAGCTTAGTCCGTAAAACAACTAAGGGTTATTTAAAAAACGATTGAAAAGTAAACAGTAACTAAAGGAATAGTTTTTTCAAAAACAAAATTGAAAAAAGAATGATATTAACGACATAGAAATTTAATGAAATAAAACTGTATTCGCTAAACGTAACATCCATACAAGATAAGGCAATGGAATACGATCACAACCTTTAAATCGAATTTGTTTATTATCCATAGTAATGGGCATTAATGGTAGAAGACCGTAATCTGTCTTTAATGCCGTTGTAGCTTTATTGAATAATAATGATTCAGTTTTCTGTGGATCAGCTGTAGTAGTAGTAGTAGTAGCAGTAGAAGTGACCTTGGCAAATTCACAACTTAAATAAGTACAAATAGTAAACGGACTGACGGAATCTATTAAATGAAATCCTTTAATCCGTTCTACTGGAATAAATGAAGAATATGATCGTCGACCAGTAAAGTAACGATTTGATGTTTGTAAACCATATCCAGATATGAGTAGAAGGGATTCTGTGAAAAACGGAAAGAATATCAGTCAGTAGAATAATATGTAGTAGTCTTCTAGCGTCACATACAATTGGATTTACAAGCTTACATGTACTTACGGTGGGAAGTATATGTAACATATTTTTAGAAACCTTTGTCTGAAAAGCAGTAGGCTCTTCATAAGTGCTCCTGATAGATATAGTAGACAAACAGTCGACATTAGTCACGCGTCCAAAATAATTAACAAACAACCAACATCGATTTTATCCCTTAGACAGAGGTAATCACTATCGAACATCCTGGATTAGATCTGTGTACTGAACGAAGGCGTGGTAAGCCTTTCTGTCATAGTGGCTATAGTTGTCATCAAATAAATTTTTATCTTTTACGTAATCCCATTAATGCTTACATATCAATTTGATTTCGGTTTCAATTATGTTGATTAATTATGTAATTATTCATTATTTTCATTATAAATATGAGATCCATTTGTCTATTATTATTAATAATAGCTGTAAAGTCATCTTCTATACCCTGCGTTACAGTCTTCTCAGTATGTAAACACGCATCAATCTTAACTAAGGTTAATCATAGATTTTTAGTTCTGTTCATGTTATGATTTCCGGTCTTTTTTCGAACATCTATCTGAACTTCACTAACTAAAGTATGTTTATCATTATATGACTTTTTGTAATTCCAAGTTGATCGCGGCTGATAAGGATTCGTGAGACAAAATTAATTCATTTTATTCTGCAAATTTTGTTTGCGGACTGTATCAACAATAGTAGTTAATCAGTGTAAATAGAGTAGTCTTAAAGGTGGCCACACTTGATAGCCCGAATAGCTCAGTGGTTTATTATATAGTGTGTCACTGGGTGAAAGGAGTTTAAATTACACTAGAAGCATCAATTTTTTTTCAAGACTGCAGATATGCCCTGCTGATGAGTCCAAAGTAGCACTAAACCTCGAGTTCATGACTTGTTGTCGATTGCTTTGAACTAACTAACAAAATACACTGTGGTTTAACATTTGTCGAATATATCCCCTAATGGAACAGGTGTAATTTAGGAAAATTACCAGATAAGTTGGAATTTATGGTTGGAACTACTTACCTTCAGTAACGGTATTACGTAAATGCATATAAATGAAAATAATGGCAGAGAAAAACAAGATTAACTGGACAAAGTACGACTGAAAAGAGAGAGAAAATATATATGAATATGAGTGACGTCAACGAAAGAAATTAAAATGAAAACATTTGATGAAAATAAAGCCATTTGTGAAGTGTGTAGAAAATTGAGATGCTGTGGTCGTCTACTGATACATAAACGGAAACTGACAGAGTGAATTTAACGATACTTGTGAATATCGTTTTGATATGACGAGCGAAAATTACGCCTATAAATTAGGAGTTGACCGATTGAATAATGAGTGATGTACAAATTGATTTCCTGTTATCGCCTATGATATTTAACCACATTAACTTTTGTGTCGACATTTTATATAAAAGTATGTCATTTTATCAAAAAGAAAAAGCCTATTTTTCTGGTAAGTGATTTTATTATTAAAACTCAGTTCATTCGGAGGATTTGTGTGAGTTACTCTGATCTCGTGAGCAAACGTCACTCGACCACACTTCGTATCGTTATGTAACATCTATCGAGACCAGCAATCTACACATTGATTTTAGCAATCAAAAGACTGCTCATCATATCATCGAAACTCTAATTTATGAAAAATTTACAGTATTATGATCATATTAAAGCAAGTACTAACGCCAACCTTTTAACAAGAATTTCCGAATGTATCACGAAGTGGGAATTTCGAGTAAAGTGAATACAATTACAATAATTTAGGCCCAAGTGAACAACGGGGAACTTTTTTAAACATAGTCAGTGGCTGCTAATCAGGGTTATAATGGTAGGTACAAAATACTTGGTTAACACCCGTGCAATACTCGTGACCAACGGTGGGAGACGTTAGGTGAAATGACCCAAAATCGGTTGCATCTTTGATCTCACTCATTCCCTTCCAATCATCTTCATCGTGCCTAACTTTAACGTGAAATTATTTTCCATCCTTTAGTTTTTAGTCTTAATGATTTCCTTTCTGAAATGATGGGGAAGACTTGTAACTCAGGTAGACGCTATCGGTGATGTTACGTTTTCTCAGCTAGATGGTTTAGTTACGGAGCTTTCACTGTTATTCAAAATAACAACCTCAGTAACTGCTTGATTTAGAAGCGAGTCTTCTAGTTATCCTATCATCATTCACAGAATAAATTGAACTAGGCTTAATAAATTTTACACTGGAAAAACTGGGTGTTCAATTCACTTACTCATAAATGAACATAGATGAGGTGACAAGATATGTTATCATTAATATTGATACATGTAAACAGTCATAGCTGTAAATTCAATTAGAGAAACGTCGACTACCAGAGAATTTCTGGAAGACTCACTTTTATATGAAGTAGGTGCTGAAAATGTTCAAAATGATAACGAAAGCTCCGTAACTAAACCATCTATCTCAGAAAACACAACACCATCAAAGTGTCCTTTACCCCTGTCCAGACGAGGGATGTAGGGACTTGGAAAGACATACAACTGTGTCAAATGTTATGTTTATAACTCAGATATATATATATATATATATATATATATAATACTCACCCCTGCAATAAAACCGACTGAACAACAAACTAACATCCAAAGTACTGTCATGACAAACCAAAACGATAAGGATATGTTTCGACTGTGTTTAACTTCAATCCATGCAGGGACTGATTCATGTGACGACAGTAATATCGGATCCTGATTTATATTTACAATTACTGGGTAAGAAGTTAGACAATTTATGAGACTACTTTTATCCGGAAATCGGTAAATCAGGTTACAACCACAAGGAAGACGAAACAGCAAAGAAAGGTCATCAATAATCCTTTGGGAGGGGTAAAAAGAATGAAACACAGGAAACATCTGAAAGACAATTGAGAATAAAACAATGATAATAGTTGCTAGAATTTCTAAATTATACATACACGGAACATCAGAAATTTCACCCGCATCAAAGTTGACGAAACGATGGTAGGATGGCTAGTAGGGAACAATTTACGATACAGTCATAATATCTCATATCCTTCAACCTAACCATGGATAAATTTTAAGGAACTGTGACTCCTTACTCACAATCCGATAGGATATATAAGGACAACACAGATTAGTTACTTCTGTTGTGTAACATGTAGTAGATTCAAGGTATTCGACCTCAAATTCATCATGAAATTTGGAGCGATATACAGTGGTTAAGGCATTTGGCTCTCAGTTACTAGGTCTATGATTCGAACCCCACCCCACCTATCACGGTTTGAGGAAGCGGTTGGAACCATTGGCCTTGACAATTAGAGTGAGACTCATACCCACGTACCTAGTAAATCGGTTAGTTACTGCTTTATATCATTACCCATAGCTTAAAATCTGATGTATTTATACAAAAGTTTTGTCAGATCTCTCTTTTTACGATGACCCTTAGGTTTAATTATATTTCGCATGTCAATTTACAAAACATCCTTTAATTTCCCTTATCTATTCGGCATTACCATTATAAAAGATGTCTTAACTTAGAAGTCTTAGTTAGCATTGATGCTACTTGCCATTAACCTTTGGACTCTTCGGTTAATGACACGCCTGCTGTTTATTCTTATGTATTTCTTAAATATTATCAACAGCCCCTCTTTTTGTGTAACTATTTACTTAGAACCATGTAATCGATGCCTGGTTACAACCCACTAAATTAATACTTTTTATAAACAATTTATCTGAAAGCTTATAATTTAAGTTAGTTTACTTTTTTTAAAAATTGACAAGTAATAATCTATCATTATTAAATGTTCTTAATTGGTTTGATAAACAGAATATGAACTGATAGTTTATCGAAACTGCTATTAGGAATGGCTTTAAAATTAGAATGAGTTTGTAGGTTACTACTATTCGACCACAGGTATATTTGAAGCTTTGCTCCCGTATGTTGAGATCATTCAGTGAGTGATATAGGAGTTAAAAGCAGAGTACTAACCAAAAATGACAAATTGGTTGAGAAAACGTTGAGCTCCTAATGACTGATGTGGTTGAGACATGTACTGCATATTCTTAACCAGCGCCTATCTTAAGATGTGATATTAGTTGACGTAGTAGATTGAAAGAAAAAAACTAGAGACAGCCAAAAAGGAAAACATAATAATCCATAAAGTCATGCACTGTTGGTCTGTGCAGACTACCTGCTTAGAGTTCAAGAAATAACTGCGACTAGAGGTTGGATACGTTAGGTGACACGACTCAGAATTATTCACGATAGCTCAAATCTATCCACTCTCTATCTCTACTTAGATCTTGAGATTTGAAGTTACCTCATACTTTTTAACCCACGAGTTCCTTTCTTTCTCTTGGATTATATTGTCCTTTTTTTCTACTATAGCTGATGCTGCTTTTACTTTTGCTACTTTGGTATTTATCCTGGTAATGCCATCTGGATGTGCTGATGTGATGTGGTAATTCGAACCATTGGACGTGTCAGGTTTTACATCACTTATTACTGACTGATTAGAAAGCAGTGGTACCTAATCAAGAGCAGAAATTTACACTGGGATAATTTCAAAAACTGATCAGTTATCTTTTTTCAATCATAATAAACGACTATTTACAGTTTTCAAACCTTTTAACTTTCGGGACCTCATTTGTAGTTCACTCTTCTGTGTTTAGAATTAACATTTTAAATAATCAATATTGTTAACAGATTCGATTTGCTTTTCTAGATTTTGATTATTAAATTTACAAGTACAACTGTTTTTTCATATACAGAAAAATGTAAGGTTCATACGATACAGAACAACCAGAACAGATATAGTTAGAATATTTATTTAAAACTTAATTTAGATTCTTAAGCTTCAGATGGCTTATTCAACAGAAACAAGGACTTGGTGCGATTATGTATAGCTCCTATTTGTGTTACTCTTCACATCCGTTTCCAAAGGAAATTTCCGAAAAACAAGTAAAACATAAGATTAAGGGCACGGGAAAGCACAATGTTTCATGTTAACATGACACAAAATTAATACACCTGCATCTTCGCAATAGAACTTTGAGTTATACAATCTCTTTAGTAACGATAGACTATGACCCTTCCGAGGACAACAGCTATGAAGATCAAGTCTCGTCAAACAGCTCAACCCTCATTTATTTGGGTTTAGAAAGATGACAACACAGAAATAAAAGTTTGGTCGCTGACTGAACGAACAATTTTTTGAAAAATAGTTCATAAGCTTTAATCGAACTTTTACTACGATTTGGGAGTCACCCAGGATCATTAACTTATAACGTGAGAGACAAACTCGTATGTAATCACTGAGATTCACTGATCCATGAATGAAGATATGTTCTCTGCAACCAAACCCATGCAACCAATCATTCATAAACAAATAAAAATGAGTAGAGCAATGAGGGAAATCAATAATGTGAAATTTATGGTGCCTTTAGCAAAGAAAGTGATTTTTCACTTAACTTCTATATGACAAAACATTCTGGTAATAGTGTTATAACCACTACTGATTACTTACATTTCTCGAAGAAAATTATATGCAAGTATTGTGCTCCTTGGAAAGACATTTGCTCAACAAACCTCCCACTTTCTGAAGTTATACAAGTCGCCAAATAAATGCAGTGTTAACAGTAAATCCTCATTACGCAATAACTTTCCATTATCAGAGATAAAGGATAGAAAATTTAAGTTGTCCTATTTCAATTAGTCAAGTCTACTAATCATTATAGACAATTCAAAATGATAAGTCCATAAGAATCGTGATAAATCCCAATCACATATGAAATATAAAAAAAAATTAGAACGTTTGTTTGTTGAAATTATTCTCTGGGGTCTACAATAAAAAAGTATAATAAATATCAACGTCTTTAAATTTTCCCCTATTAAAAAGGTTGGTATGTAAAGTCGTTAAATGTCTACCAATAAGGAAAACTCGAATGTTTGGGTTTTCACGGGTTATAAAATAACAATCACCTAGTTGTAATACTTCTGTTACGTATCGTTTTTAAAATATCTTCATCAAACACTTCGAAAGTTGCACTAAGCGATAGCATTCCTGTGAAGAATCTACATTTCTGCCAAATTACAATATTATTGTTCAAAGATGAGTAAATAGACATATATATTGCTATCTTGAACTACTACCGTCATCCTTCTCAGTGAATTTGTCAGTCAAACATCTTTTATGAAAACCGTCTTACTCTGGAGTTAACAGATTTTGTAATTCCAAATGACCAAGTAATTTACCAGGAATTATTCTCTTTGATACTTTAGCCAATATCCTGATTAGGCTGAAATGATGGTAATCAGATATTAGTATTTACATTCCTAAAACTAGGGGTAACGGACAGCAACCTTCCAAATCCTTGAGAGTTTAGTTCAGGAAGATATACTGAATAATTGTATGAATGGTTCTGAGAATCGTGTCTTTGAACGATACCAGTATTCTAAGATCTAACTCATCTGAATTCACGGACTTACTAGGTTTTAGGCAACTAAGTAATCAAAAACTGTCTCTTGAGTTACGAACGCTTAGTCAGCAATCTCATCAAGCTGACTGCTAACACTAGTATGTCCCACCATTAGGGGGAAGTAACCATGCAGTCATGTTATTCAAATTCATGGCTGAGATTGCCTGTCAAACAGTTGCGCCGGCCTGTCCTAATATATGGAAGGCAATCAACTCCGCATCATCGGCTGAAAACTGGGAAATTGACTCAAGAGCTTCAGTACAAGAGGCATGAACTTATTTCGGGCAGTTATACAATCGGGTAACTCAACCATACATACCCTGGACAGTCCCAAAGAGGAAGAAGCACGGTCTTCCCTGGATAGGCTGGGATATTCGACGTTTACTAAGACAAAAGAAGAAATGTTAGAACGTTGCTATCAGTCTTGGCACAGCAAGTACGATGGAACGCTACAGATCAGTAAGAAACACGTGTATAATTCAAATTCAGGAATCTCAAAAAAACATGAAATACAGTTGGCACAATCTGCACTCAAGCAGCCTAAGAGAACATTCTCATACATAAACCACAGAACAAGGATGCATCATTGGATTTCCAACCTAATTAGAGAAGCATGTGGATCTGAAATGATAGAGGAAGATCAGGAAAAAGTATAGTCTATGGCTGACTATTTTGGGGCAGTTTTCACTCAGGAACCTCCTCTAGACAAAGAACCAGACCAAAATAAAGAGTCAACAAACCACCTACTCACCGTGGACTTCGATCAAGACTATATGCTTAAGGGTTTTATCACCTTAAACATGGAAAAGCCAACAGGACCAGATGAACTACACCCCAAAATCTTGAGACATATTGCACAATATATCGCGGCCCCACTGACTGATATTCAATATGTCACTTGACCAATGTGTGTTACCTATGGACTGGAAGGACGCAATCGTCCCTCCCATACATAAAACAGGACCAAGACAACTTCCATCGAACTACAGACCTGTAAGCCTCAACAGCGTTGTAGTTAAAATATTGGGAAGAATAGTCCAAAAGCCATAATGGCATTTGTGGAAACCAATAACCTTTTGAACAACATGATTTCAGTAAGGGTTTATCTTATACAACGAACTTCCTCATAGCAAGAGAATATTAGATAAAAGTGCTGGACAACGGAAACTCGGTAGATGTTATCTACATAAACTTCAGTAAGGCTTTTGACAAGGTGCCAACAAATAGATTGCTATTGAACTTAGAAAATCTTGGTATTGCCGGACCTCTTTTAAAATGGTCTAGGGTTTTCCTAGTAGGTCGTAGACAGAAAGTAAGAATAAATTCCAAGTGCTCCACCTGGAGACCAGTAACTAGTGGAGTACCTCAAGGTTCCGTCCTAGGTCCTTTACTTTTTATACTGTATGTAAATAATCTCCCAAGTATAGTACAGTCCGCAATGTTATAATACGCTGACGATGTAAAAATCTGGCGAGTAATAACCGGAGACGCAAACGCATGCGCACCTCAGGAAGACTTAAATAATGTGATTACTGACTGACTGACTGGTCTAAAGAGTGGCTGAGTCAGTCAGTTAGCTACAACGTAGGACCAAGCACATATATGCATCGGTCCAAGTTGCCATACCGCATTAGCACATCAAGATGAACACCGGATTCATAGGAATGGTTAAGTCAATGGTGGTAATATATAAAAGAAAGATTGCAATAAGAATATAGTATAGAAAAAAAGATTTAGTACGTAGAAAGATATGAAGCGATTTTAATCTCTTGGTTTAAGGGAAGAGAGTCTATATACCTACGCAATTGTAATCGAATCTGACCCATGTCAAACACAGTCTCAAACCATTGGTTACGAAAGTCACGCGGACCCCAACCAAGTAGTCTGCATCTACCAACATGGCTCAGACCAGATGTTTGTGTCTTCAAGCACTGATGCCACGTTTTGGTTTGGCCGCCCATAACTTTCTTCCAACCATCCCCAACACCGGTTAGCATTGCACGTCGTGGTAATCGGTGTTCAGACATACGTAACACGTGGCCTAACCATCTCAGTCGATGAAGATTCACAACCTCATCAACTGATTTACCATCATTCCCTAATACCTTGTGTCTAACCTCACTATTACTTACCCGGCGACCCCAGCAGACGCCAGCAATATTTCTAAGGCATCTGTGGTCAAATACTAGTAGCTTACGAGTGTCTTCTGCTCTTAATGGCCATGTTTCGCTGCCGTAAAGTAGAACAGAACAAACTGCCGCGCAGTATACTTGTCCCTTAATTGATAGACAGATATCTCGCCTTCTCCATAGATAAGTTCGCAAAAGTCAAGCGAGCTTTCTGAATCCGTGCACAGATTCTGTCAGACATTAACCTATTAGGGTTGATTAGACTTTCAACATAAGTGAAGTCATCAATGCAGGCCAGTCCTGGAGCAACGCCTTGCATTTCGAAGGGGGGAAACACATCCTAAGCATCCTGGCATTGTTGCTCAGTGCTACCAAAAGACTCTGAATTTTATCAGCATCTTCACCAAACAGGACTATGTCATCTGCGTATTCTAAGTCGATAAGTGGACCTCCTGGAAGGAGATCAATGCCCGAAAACTCAGACGACGAGGACGTCATTTCCAGCAGTAGGTCTATGATGGAATTAAACATAAATGGAGATAGTGGACAGCCTTGCCGGACACCACATGAGGTTGCAAGAGCAGATAACAGTTCGCCATAAGTTCTGACTCGACCGGCAGTGTTCGAGTAAAGAGCCTTCACAAGGTTTATGTACTTCTGAGGTACACCTTCCAATGACAGATATTTGCCACAGAACCCGTCAGTAACAACGTAGAACCTCATGTGTACGTACATCAGTTTGAGTTGCCACACCACATTAGCACAGAGATGCAGTTGTCGATTCAAATCCCATAGTGGTAGAGGTGGTAAGAGTATAAGCAGTAATAGGAAACATTAGGGTATGAAGATGTTATTTAAAGTGTAATCCAGTGAAATAAATTTAGAAAGAAAATAAAGGACATGAATAATTCGGAAGATTAGAATTTGGGAGGGCACAAAGAGTGGATGCACCTGCGCCAGTGCAAACGATTTTGAGCCATGTATCGTATCGTGAGCCACAGAACCTCTCGATCTCGGAGTCAAATGCTGCTTTTAAGAGTCAAGAAAGACCACCATTGTCGGAGGCCGTTAAACATGCCTGAGTTCTAATACCTGACGAATGGTGAATATGTGGTCGATACAGCCATGACCATGTCTGAAGCTAGCCTGATTTTCTTGTGTTTGCAGTTCAAGAGTCCTTGTTAGGCGCTCAATAATTATTGAGGCTAGTATTTTAGATGCTATGTTGGTCAAACTAATCCCTCTACGGTTATCATAGGATGATTTTGAATCGTTTTGGTGGAGTTTTGTTCTCTGAGCTGGATGGTTTGGTCGTGAAGCTTTCATCGTTCTTCTGAACGACATCATCAGCACAAACTTCAGATAGTAGTTTGCTGATGATGTCGTTCAGAAGAACGATGAAAGCTTCACGACCAAACCATCCAGCTCAGAGAACAAAACTCCACCAAAATCATCCACCTGAGCTACAAATCTTCTCCACCATCTCAAGATTTTGAATCGTTCTTATATAGTGGGACAATCAGTGATTGCGATTAGTTAAATGGGATTACGTCCAACTCTCACATTTTAGTTAAAATATTAATCAGCCTAATCGCTAAAATTGGACCACCATCCTTAAAGACCTCTGGAGCCAATCCATCTGGACCAGCTGCCCTAACTCGTTTCAGATTAGCTATAGCCTTATGAACTTCAGCTAGAGTTGGGGGACCTATTTCAACGTTCAATTCACACTGTCTGGAAATAGAGGGTAGTTGTAGAGTAGCTGAAGGCCAGCTGAACTGTTCTACAAAACGTTCCGCCCATCGTCCTAAACGTCTGGACTGGGAGCAGATGAGTGTCGTCTTTCCCCGAGATAGTCTCACTTACACTTGACTTGTTAATTCCAGTTTCTTTTATTAGTCTGTAGAGCTATCTTGTGTTCCCTATGACCGCCACCTTTTCCATCTTTTCTGCTTTCGTTGCCCTTCACTGCTCACGGTCGTTCCTTAGACTTTTGCTTAACCTAGATCTGATTTGTTTACGCTCTTTTCTTCCCACTAGATCGGGACATCTCAGAGGACATAGCAAGCGAGTAGAAAAGCCGAGAACGAACACAATATCCGTGACACACAGGTTTTCACATCGAGTCATCAATACTTGGAACCTATCACCCGTAACAGTAGTGTCCGCACCTTTAAGTGACTAATTAAAGAGAAGACTGGACATCCACAGAAGCATACTAGAAAAGGAATAACATTTGCCATAGACCTTCTGTCCTTACTACACAAATCTGAATCTGACATTAAAATTGCTCTATACGAACTAATTATTTCCCCCTGTATTATATACTTATACGCAATCTTTTTATGTACTGCTATAATCGAAGTGACTACTGTGAATTCGGTGATCACCTTGCTGTGCTGATGAGGTGAGGTAACTTAGACCAAAGCATATATGCCTGGTCCCACGTTGTAGGTGACTGACTTACGAAACGTTATTGATTTGCAGTTGCTTGGTATTGTTGAAAACGACCGAAATATCAGTCTTAAATACCAAAGATAGTATGCTGGTTGAGGCGTGACAATCTTTGCAGTTTGCTTTTCAATGATAGTTTCCCCTTGAAAGAGTTCATCTATGAAGCCGATACTTACTCGAGTGAGGCGCTATCAGCGTTGACCTATCGGAAAAAGCAGAGTCCGTTTTTGATTTTGTTCGGTAGCAACTACCAAACTTGTTTTGAATGGTGTCGGAGATGATAAATCCGAGGGGGAGTACAGAAGTAAAAGCATATGAAAACTCTCGCGTTCTATGATATTATTTCAGACATTCTTATGCGTCAACCTCTTTAACAGTAAAACTCAAGTGACAGCTCAAGATATTCCGAGGTTGTATGAGTTACAGACAGCACACACTAGTACCAGTAAAGCTGATTGTAACCAAGCAACCAACAGAGAAATAAAAACGGAAAAGGGGATGGAGGCGTAAATAAAGGAGAATTGCCAATTTTTTCACCTTACGTCGTGTATTTAGGGAATATTTGTCGACAATTATACGTAACGCACAATTTTGAATATGCCGCACCCCGTACTTATGTTTTCATAAACGTCGACAAGATAACGCACCACTTAATAAGAAAACAAAACTACTGTTATAAACACGATTAACAAAATACGGACACAGTGATTTGGCTGAAACGCATGCACACTGATTTTTTTGTTTAACTAAACTGTTCTAATATGCTTGGTAGAAATCACAATTATCTAACGTGACACGAGTAAGTGACGTGCTCTCCGTTTTTCATGTTTATTTTAAATAATTACCTTGATAGACCAATACGAGTTCACTTAAAGTCACTGAGAGAGCTCGTAGACGTAGAGAACCTATTAACTTGTCAAGCGTCCTTGGCTGTCATAGATCGACTTATAACAGACGGTGAAATAAAATACGAAGCTTTCATGGGAAAACCTAACTTGCTTTCATTAGTCCGAAATTTCGGTTGTTTGACAGAGTCACCTCGCTAATTACCAAGTACGTTTCATTACTATTTAGATGTTAATGAAGTAGTTAGACACAATTAGATACATCACCGTCAACATTAGAATCTAAGCGCGTAGGCTGTTCTTTTGCAGCCGAGTAAGTCACCTATACGATCAAGTGAACTTTTTCAGATTTGATAGGTTGCATACAATGATGCAGAACATGTCTCCAGCTATTACTGACTTAAATATAAATATAAAGCTGCTATTGGCGAAGTGAAAATAACCTTGGGTTGAGATATCGTACAGTTTCGCAAGGTCTTTTTCGTTGACAGATAACGACAACAAGCGATTGGTTATTGCACCTGAAGTTTAAATAGTAGATGTAGGTTACTTCGTATGCAGCCGTAAAACCGGCATTCTGAAGTGCTCGTTTTGACGAAGTGCCAAGTAGTGTGAAATTACTGGCAATCTCAGGTGCCATAAGGTACGACAAAACATACCGCATTTAGGTTTAAGGATCATTATCCATTAACCTCGTTAACATGGCCATCTGTTATACGAACAAATTATAAAATTAACGTGGTTGATTTACAAATCTATCCCTGGTTTTTTGCAGCGAACCGGTGCCCAAAATCTGCAGTTCCTATTTAGATGACAAAGAGAACTGCTGACTTGATAGTCCGCAATCGAACTGATGCGGATGCTCGCGGACACTGAACTTCGCTAGTAGCAGCTTTATATTTATATTTAAGTCAGTAATAGCTGAAGACATGTTCTGCATCATTGTATGGAACCTATCAAATCTGAAAAAGTTCACTTGATCGTATAGGTGACTTACTCGGCTGCAAAAGAACAGCCTACGCGCTTAGATTCTAATGTTGACGGTGATGTATCTAATTGTGTCTAACTACTTCATTAACATCTAAATAGTAATGAAACGTACTTGGTAATTAGCGAGGTGACTCTGTCAAACAACCGAAATTTCGGATATTGTACGTGGCTATTTCCAGCCTGCATCTCGGCCACATTCATGTCTACTGAATTGTACAAAAATCTTTCTTTGTGCTTCAATACACCTCTACGAAATGTTAGTAAGATTATTGTACTGACCTCTTGGGCTTCTCAGTGTTGAGTAACAAGGTGTTTTCATCCGTTGAAGATCCAGTGTTTGGAGAGAAACTAACACGTCCATTGCAGAATGCAGACCATCCATTATAAATTATAGTTTATGTATTTTACTCACCGAATTCGTGAATGACGTTACGTCTCAGAACTGACCAATTGTCATCTGGTCGGTCTCAGTTTTGTAGGTGGATATTGACCAGCTCCGGTATTATATAATTTAGGGTGTGCAAGCAGATAAATGGATGACACTAAACGCCGGAAATTAAAATACAAAGGTTACGGCAATGTTTTTGCGGAATACCTGAGCCTAAATATAGAAGGGAAATTCCGAAGCTTTCCATACCGATACTAATTCTAGTGTACGGTATTTACGCTGAAAGTTGGAAGGAGTACTTGCTACGCAACCAGATGTTAAATTATTTATAACGTAATTGAACATCAGTTCATGTTAAGCAGTCTTTTATGTGAGAATTCTATCCAAAGATTAGCTAGCTTTTTTGTGACACCGAGGTACACCATGTGCATAGGATCTAAAAGAAAAGTTATGATCATACTAATTGAAGGCGTTTTGGGAATCGAATGGCCTTGATGGTGAATAGATTGAGTCTGATGACGACAGCTATCGTCCGTTCTTAACGTATATTCACCATTTGGAAAAGTCATCTTCCCCTCAAGCCGTCTCCCAAATACAGTACACCTGTCGCAACCTGCCTTACCGTTGTGATTTAATGGTTACATAACAGCAAAACGAGTAGGCGTGTCACATATTACAGCGGACAACTTGAGATATATATATATATATATATATATATATATATATATATATATATATATGTTTATTTATTTATTAAACTTAGCACTAAACAAACCCACGTTACTCATTTCTTTTGTTTCAGAAATTGTGTCAGCAGAAAATTCGTTGAATTCTGCCGGTTTATTATTCCCTCCGTACAACACTATCATGAACACGTCACTAATCCTTGGGACAACGATCCGTCCTAATATAGGCCATAATCGTTGATTAGAGCTCCTAAACATAGAAAGTCTAGTGGAATATGCCACTGAAACACTGCCTTGGCTGACGGGTCACACGGTTTCTGGCTGTCCGTATATTCATTGTTTAATTCTACTTTCTAAGCTTTGTCTTATGAACTGAACTGACATCATCGTGGGATTAAACGTAATATGAGTATTCTTCTCCTGAAGCTTCTCGTAGCTTACATCTTGATTGTAATTTACTTTCAAAGGATATCCGATTTATAAATAAAATGTGTGCAACTAACTGAAAATACCATGCGCCGTTGTAAATTTTGTGCACTAATCTGTATACTGTTGTCTAGTTGAAAGTTATATGGAAAATTTGTTGCAGCCTATGGGCAGATTAAGCAACCATAAAAACTCGGAACAAAGTTCATTTGAATAAGTGAATAATGTGTGTAAATTGGTACTTACATTATCTATTGGTTCTCGACAGCATCTGTTTGCTTACATATGTCAATCTGACTAACCATAAGACTGCTAAACTTTGAAGAAGAAACAGTGTGACAAGAGTGTTTGAAATAATATAGACTGACTCCAAACCATTCTAAATCGATAGTTACCAATGTTGGCTTTGAGCTTTGTCCCATGCAATGTATGCTGAATTTCTAGTTGGGGTGACATAACCACCGGTAATTTGTCCACTTGGATTGTAATAAAAAACAATCGGAACCTACAAAATGGTAGTAGGATTTACCGTATGCCTCCAGCACATCTAGCTCTTCAGATGTGTGGGTTGGATACTGCAAATATACATTTAAATGTTATTACAATTTACTCGTGTATGCATACCAGTCTATAGGCAATTTTACCATGTCAACTCCGTCAACAAATGAGGATACCAATAATGCTTAGGATTGCTCACAGTTGTACTCTGGTGAATTATATAATAATCGGAGCGGAGTTTTGTAGAGATTGAAGTCATTTGTTAATTGAAGTTATGAGTCAATTGAAGCAAGAGCGCCATGGAAAACCTGGAAGCATTGGACGGTCGTTTCACCCTAGTATGGGAATCAGCATTGCGTTTCTGAAGATGGTGGTGACTTTCTGGTTAAGGAACTGACTGAGTTGTTTACAGATGTCTGACGATTAGAGAGTGTTCCGACATCGTGGGATGAGTCTATAGTTGTCCCTATCTTTAAAAAGAGTTCACGTCTTTCCTGTAACAACTATCGGGGGACAAGTCTACTTCCGATTGCGTCCAAACAATTAGCTTCCGTTAGACTTCGTATTGTTCAAAACCGGAGAAAATATTGACTCGCGAGGAGCAGGCTGGTTTTCGTTCTGCTCGAGGATGTATCGATCATATCCTCACCCTCTGTCAAATGTTAGGACACCGTCATACTTATCACCGACCAACAATCGTAGTGTTTCTTGACATCAGAGCTGCCTTCGATTCGTTGGACAGGACTATTCACTGGGATTGTCTAACTTTTTTAACTGGAAAAATTCTTTCTGGTTGTACGTTCGCTAACTGAACTACCTCTCATTACTATTATTATCTCACTATCATACACTTTTTTTTTCCGTTGTTGTCCTTTTTTTCTTATACGCGCTTTGCATTTCGTATCTTTTCACATTCTCATTGTCATTTTACTTGTTGCCCCTTTGTACCAATATTTATGTGTTGATATGAATAAATAAACCCACTTCTTCACCACTCGTCTTCTTTCTCAAGAGCTAGTTCGGCGCTTGTTTATCAGTGTCAGTCTGCGACACCACGCGTCGTAACATTTAATTTATGATTTATTTGGTCAAGTAGGTTTATTGTAGTTCTAATTTCACCATCAAATCAGTTGTTTCTAAATACTAACAGAGATAATAATAATTTTGTTAGATGTAAATGTATGGAAAATGGAACGGGCTAAACCATCCCAGTACTGTCCAATACGTATTTAGGAACTCAGTTGTAGCGTGGCGTCGAGTTGAGATTAACTATGAACACCGCTACCAAGAAACACGTGCCAAATGAATCAGAAGGCGAGGGTTGGACGTAACCAAATAGATCCATAAAATCCCCGAGAAGCCAAATACCAGAAGGCAATTAATGGACCAAGTCGAGTTATATTTGCTGGCGATCTCGTGGCATCGAAAGGATACCGAGGTCGTGCCAGGATACAAGCTTGGTTACAGAAGGTAACCGAATTCGCGCGAAGTTACAATTGAAGTGTAAGTATAAGAATGGAAGCACAAAATAGCTGTCATTAGCGCAGTCAAACAAAAGCACGTTAAAACAAACACTGGTACAGTTGGTTATAATAATAATTGTTTTTATTAAACCAGTCGTGTTCTCGTGATAAATGTGAGTCACTACACAGTCAACAATAGACCATCACGTACAGCAGGAAAGACCATAGACGAAATTGAAAGTGCATCATGCTGTTAATTCGTATTAGGTGAACGATAATATGCAATGCGACTGTTAGTAGACACGAACGTCATAAATTTTCATCGACAAAACTGAAGAA